ACATATGCACATACACACACCTACAGATAAACACACATATATAATGTTTGCATAAATTCTGGATACTGAATCTATAGTCTGCTCTATTTATTCCTATATCAGAGGTGCAGAATGGAACATCTATACACACACACACAATGTTTGCATAGATTTGGATACTGAGAAGGGATATAAGGCACTTTCTAGGAATGGGAATGCAGACATGCAAAATCCTGGGCCCTTTTTCTTGGAAAAGTCTTTTAAGCTGCTTTTGCAAGCTAACCTCCATACATTCCTCCCATATGACTGCCACTATAGATGCACTGACATTGCACAATTAATGCAGTTTGACACAACTTTAAAAGCCATGGATCAAGGCTATAGGATCACGAGAATTGTAGTTTTTCCAGCAATATATTAAAATCAGCTATGCATGCTAAAATCACACACACACACCCTTGAATGCTAATGTTACTCTGTCATAATATCCAGCATTGGTCTGACATTTTTCTGGCTGCATTACCCTACCCGAAAAGGTCTGCTGCAAGGATCTCAGGAGAGATGAAATGGTAATATTGTGAAAATTGAAAACCTTCCACTCAAATCCTCAAAAGAGAAACAGAAAAGCAAAGAGAGTGTCGTTCAATGGCGCCACCTAGTGCTCGCTGGTGGAACGGCAGGCTGAGTGAGAATCAATGCAACATCCTGCCAACATTGTTCACCCAAATACCTGGGAGTCACTCTGGACCATGCTCTGACCTACAAGAAGCACTGCCTGAACATCAAGCAAAAAGTGGGTGCTAGAAACAACATCATACGAAAGCTGACTGGCACAACCTGGGGATCACAACCAGACACAGTGAAGACATCTGCCCTTGCGTTGTGCTACTCTGCTGCTGAGTATGCATGCCCAGTGTGGAACACATCTCACCACGCTAAAACAGTGGATGTGGCTCTTAATGAGACATGCCGCATTATCACAGGGTGTCTGCGCCCTACACCACTGGAGAAATTACACTGTCTAGCTGGAATCATACCACCTGACATCCTCCGGGAAGTAGCAGCCAATAATGAAAGGACCAAGGCAGAGACATCTCCAGCTCATCCCCTGTTTGTGTATCAGCCAGCACGCCAACAACTTAAATCAAGAAATAGTTTTCTAAGATCTACAGAGACACTTGCTGGAACCCCAGCAAGCGAGAGTCCAAAAGTGGCAGGCTCAAACCCAGCACCTCAATCCATTGGTGATACCAGATGAGAGACTCCCCCCTGGGCACACAGAAGACTGGGTGACTTGGAAGGCACTGAACAGACTGCACTCTGGCACCACGAGATGCAGAGCCAACCTTCAGAAATGGGGCCACAAAGTGGAATCCTCGACATACGAGTGCGGAGAAGAGCAAACCACTGACAACCTGCTGCAATGCAACCTGAGCCCTGCCACATGCACAATGGAGGGCCTCCTTGCAGCAACACCAGAAGCACTCCAAGTGGCCAGAGACTGGTCAAAGGACATTTAATCAGCTACCAAGCTTGTAAACTCTGTGTTTTGTCTGTTTGTTTTTGTTAAAAATGTAATACAAATGTCTGGTTGCTGATGGCACGATAAATAATACCAAAGGGTGCAATTAATACAGTTGGGACACCACTTGAACTGCCATGGCTCAATACTATGGGATCCTGGGAGATGAAGCTTGGTGTGGCCCTAGGACTCCATCAGAGAAGACCCTAGCAAACTATAACTCCCATGATTTCATACCACATTAATTATTTGATGGTGTAGAGATGCACCCTAATATAATTCCTATATACATCTGGGCTGCATCCAGTGCTTGAGAAAAGTTACATATTTAAAACTATTGTTGCAACTCAGGGTAGTTTTGACCTTGCTCAAGACACCACCACACACCAAGGCTGTGGGTTTTGTAGTTTGTTGAGAAAAAGCAAAATCAAAACAGAGAAATAAAGATGCAAAAGTTCTTAAAGGCAAAAGGCAAAGTTCCCAAGATCCAAAGGCAAATAACATGAAGCATAATCCCTTAGCAATGGTCAAACAAGAGTCCATGGTAGACAGATTAAATCAGGAACAAAATCCAAGTCTCCAAGAAGTCAGAAGCGTTCCGCAAAAGCCAAGGTAATTCCACAGAAGTTAACAGGGAAAGAGCAACATTGGACTGACGGGAAATGCCTGTCGGCTACATCATTAAATAAGTTTCACTGACATGAAAGCATTGCGTTGACCTTTGGCTTCACGCTTGCTGGCAAGGCGTGAGCTTCTGCGAACTCTTAATTGTAAACAATCCTGTCTACTCATTAATTCACGAATATCTTCAAGGCTGGGCAATTCATTATCTTGGCCCAGATGGGCCTAATCACCCTGGGAGTCTCCACCTGCAGTTGTGGAGTTTCACTATCTTTATCTAAAGGCACATTCCTTTCTCCGGGGAACAGACTTGCTGTTTCTTCTTCAGAAGCCACACTATCAGCCCTGTCTGGAACATGTACAGAAATCTGTAACCCATCAGCCTCCTCATCATCCTGCAGAAAGTCAAGCTCAGAAGGCCCAGACAGTTCAGACTCAGGCTCAGACGGAGCCACAAGAACTATAACTCACACATTTCTAGGATTTCTGCAACCCTGTGATCAACTTTCTCTGGACACTGACCACAGGATTGCATTGGAGACGCTTGAGATTCCTACAGAGATGTTCTCTCTAGGGGTGTGTCTACACTGTAGGGTTAACACAGTTTGACTCCACTTTAACTTCCATAGCTCAGTGCTATGAAATCACAAGAGTGGTCATTTTACATAGCCTTCTTTGCCAATGAGTAAGTGTGCCTCATTGAACTACACATCTCAGTATCCCATAGCCTTGAGCCATGGCAGTCAAAGTGGTGTCAAACTGTATCAGTTCTGCAATGGAGACACACCCGTAGACCAGTCTCTTGGTCCTTCAGCACTGTGACGGCATGAGTGGCGCCACCTATGTGTAGAACTGTAAGTTGCAAGATTTGAACTGTTGTATCATGCTTAATCCTGCCTTTTTACCCTGCCTATCTATAGTTGGATTGATTGGTTATTTATAGCTGCCAATCAATGTTGTTTGCACCAGTTGAATTGCTTTTTCAGCGTAATTGTTTGGCTCCACCTCTTCCTGGAGGAGGGGAGTGCTTCCTTTTTTATTCCACCATCAGATTTTCTACCAGATGGACATGAGTAAGAGACTTGGCTCTAAAAGCCCCTGATTAAATTACCTCTCAGCACCAATTCTGAGGTTCTTACCCTTGAGACTTATGCTTCATGTTCAGACCAACCTGAACAACGTTGGGAAGTCTCAAGCGCCTTCAAACCAGTTCTTTTGGCACCAGAGGAAGACCCTGAGTCTTCAAACATAGGCCATTTGGACTGGGGTTGTGGACTGTTCCAGCATTTACAGCCATTGAGAAAGAGGGACCTGGAAAAGCTTCTCAGCTAAAAAACTCCTTTGACCCAAAACAACTAGAGACTGTAATGTACATTTTCCTTCACCCCTTTGAAACTTCCAGCTTATTGCCTTAAAGAGATAACTCTTTGTGAACAATAAAACTTATTTTGAGTTATCTACAGTGTTTTGGGTCTTTGAGAGTTCCAGTTTCCTAAAGGAGGGCAAGAAGCAATCCCCTGGGGAAAGATGTCCATGCCTCTTTCACTAAGAGCTATAGCCCCCAGGCGTGACGGCACAAGCACGACTCTGCACTTGAGGACCTAGAGCTCCCTGGAGATAACATTTTAATCCAGAATGGCATGTAATCAAAACCAGAAAAGCCAAATCCATAAATGCGAAGAGACATGTGGGATATTAACAACAACAACAACAACAACAACAACAAATTGCACCTGAGGATCTAGAGAGATTCCTGGATAGAGCAAGTCTACATATAAACAAATCTGGAAAAAGCCAACCACACAAATGCAGAGAGAAAGGCAGCATATAAATGATGATGATGATGATGATGATGATGATGATGATGACGATGATGTTCAGAGTAGAGCAACTGCTTTGGGAGACGGTGGTCAGGCATCCGGACAACGTGGCGGGCCCAGCGGAGTTGATGGCAGAGGACCATCGCTTCAATGCTGGTGGTCTTTGCTTCTTCCAGCACGCTGACGTTTGTCCGCCTGTCTTCCCAAGAGATTTGCAGGATTTTCCGGAGGCAGCGCTGATGGAATCGTTCCAGGAGTTGCATGTGACGTCTGTAGACAGTCCACGTCTCACAGGCATATAGCAGGGTTGGGAGGACAATAGCTTTATAAACAAGCACCTTGGTATCCCTACGGATGTCCCGGTCCTCAAACACTCTCTGCTTCAATCGGAAAAATGCTGCACTTGCAGAGCTCAGGCGGTGTTGTATTTCGGTGTCGATGTTTACTTTGGTGGAGAGGTGGCTGCCAAGGTACTAGAAATATTTTCTAATGTTTCTAATTTTCTAAAGTCTCCCAAAGCAGTTGCTCTACTCTGAACTTAAGAATGGAAAACAGGACGTTGGTGGGCAGGAAAAGAGATTTAAAGATGGCCTCAAAGCCAACTTTAAAATCTCTGGCATAGACACTGAGAACTGGTCTTTGTGCGCTCCAGTTGGAGGTCAGCTGTGACCAGCAGTGCTGCAGAATTCGAGGAGGCACGAGTGGAGGGTGAAAGAGAGAAACGTGCCAGGAGGAAGGTGCGTCAAGCCAACCCCGACCGGGACCGCCTTCCACCTGGAAACCAATGCCTTCACTGTGGGAGAAGATGCGGGTCAAGAATAGGGCTCCACAGCCACCTACGAATCCACAAGGAAACCCATCATGGAAGACCATCTTACTCGTCCAACGAGGGATCGCCTAAGTAAGTAAGATGATGATGCTAGAATTGCACGTGAGGATCTAGACATTTCTGTAGATAACATTTTAATCAAATCTGCATATCATCTAATCCACAAAAGCCAAACCTGCAAAGGCAGAGGGACAACTGCATATTCTCTCCATATTTTGCATTTACCTACCTGAGGCTGGACTACTTGCATCATTCTTCTGGCTTTTTAATCTCTGCCCTCTGGAAGTAATGGGATCCGCTCCGTCTGTCCTTCTCGCACTCCTTTCAAGGGGGACAGAAGCTCATCTTGCAAAGGGAGGTCATAGGAGTGTTCAGCCGCAGCTCAGTGTTCAGCTGCTGCCTTATCTTCTGGCCTCCAGCTCCAGCCATGGGACCCATGGATCTGAGGGGCTACATCATAGCGACATCGAAAGCAAGGGGCTGCACAGAATCTGCAGGAAAGAAGGCAGTGGGCTTTGAGGGCTTTGAGGAACTTAAGCATCAAGAACTCCGTAATCAGCTTTATCTAAAACTTGGAGCGTCGGCTCTGTATACATAAAATCATAGGGTTGGAAGAGACCACGTGAGCCATCTAATCCAACTCCCTGCCATATAGGAAAAGGCACAACCAAAGCACCCCTGACAAGATGGCCATCCAGCCTCTGTTCAAAAGCTTCCAAGGAAGGAGCATCCATTATACACTGAGGCAGAGAGTTCCACTGCTGAACAGTCAGGAAGTTGCACATTGTTCAACATTTACACAAATGACCAGCCACTGCCAGAAGGGACAGAAAGTTTCATCTATGCTGATGATCGTGCCATTACCGCTCAAGCAGGGAGCTTTGAGATGGTTGAACAGAAGATCTCAGAAGATCTAGGTCAGTGTTTCTCAACCTGGGGGTTGGGACTCCTGGAGGGGTCGCGAGGGGGCGTCAGAGGGGTCGCTAAAGACCATCAGAAAACAGTCTTTTCTGTTATTCGTGGGAGTTCTGTGTGCCAATGTTGGTATAATTCTATCGTTGGTGGGGTTAGGTAGCTCTTTGATTGTAGGTTAACTATACATCCCAACAACTACAACTCCCAAATGTCATTGTCTGTTTCCCCCAAACTCCACCAGTGTTCACATTTGGGCATATTGATTCGTGCTAAGTTTGGTCCAGATCCATCATTGTTTGAGTCCACAGTTCTCTCTGGATGGAGGTGAACTACAACTCCAAAACTCAAGGTCAATGCCCACCAAACCCTTCCAGTGTTTTCTGTTGGTCATGGAAGAACTGTGTGCCAAGTTTGGTTCAATTTCATCATTGGTGGGTTCAGAATGCTCTTTGATTGTAGGTGAACTATAAATCCCAGCAACTACAACTCCCAAATGTCAAGGTCCATTTTCCCCAAACTCCACCAGTGTCCACATTTGGGCATATTGAGTATTCATGCCAAGTTTGGTCCAGATCCATCATTCCTTGAGTCCACAGTGGTCTCTGGATGTAGGTGAACTACAACTCCCAAACTCAAGGTCAGTGCCCACCAAACCCTTTTAGGATTTTCCATTGGTCACGGGAGTTCAGTGTGCCAAGTTTGGTTCAATTCCATTGCTGGTGGGGTTCAGAATGTGCTTTGATTGTAGGTGAACTATAAATCCCAGCAACTACAACTCCTAAATGATAAAATAAACCCCTCAACCCACCCCCCCCAAATTTGGCAAAATTGTGCCAAATTTGGTCCAGTGAATGAAAATACATCCTGCGTATCAGATATTTACATGACAATTCATAACAGGAGTTAAATGACAGTTATGAAGTCACAATGAAAATAATTTTATTGTGTCATCACTGCTCAAGCAGGGAGCTTTGAGATGGTAGAACAGAAGTTCTCCGAAGCTCTAGGTGCCCTTACTGCCTATTACAGGGGAAACCAGCTGATCCCTAACCCATCTAAAACACAGACATGTGCTTTTCACATCCAGAAAGTCATAGGTTTAGACAATTGCCTCCATACTCCCACTATATATCTACAAAGTCCCTGTTTTGTTCCATCTTCAATTTGATGTGTATTGAAACCAATGTGCCTTGCAGGGCTGTCATAAGCATGAATGTTGAGTTGTGTGTCATTGTTGCTTGGAAAGGGTACCAGCAAATATCATACAGAAAGCCATGGGGAGCTGGAGCTGACAGAGGGAGCTCATCCACGCTCTCCCCGGATTCGAACCTCTGACCTGTAAGTCTTCAGTCCTGCCAGCACAGGAGTTTAACCTACTGTGCCACCGAAGGATCCGATTCTATGATGATGATGAATAGTAATAAAATTTGGTATTAATGAATGAGTATTTATTTATCGTGTCAGGAGCAAACCAAAACAGTTGTATTGCATTAAGAAACAGACAAACAAACAAACAAAACACAAAGTTTGCAGACATGGTATTCTATTAAATGTCCTTTGACCAGTATCTGGCCACTTGGAGTGCCTCTGGTGTTGCCGCAAGAAGGTCCTCCATTGTGCATGTAGCAGGGCTCAGGTTGCATTGCAGCAGGTGGTCAGTGGTTTGCTCTTCTCTACACTCGCATGTCGTGGATTCCACTTTGTGGCCCCATTTCTGAAGGTTGGCTCTGCATCTCATGGTGCCAGAGCGCAGTCTGTTCAGCGCCTTCCAAGTCGCCCAGTCTTCTGTGTGCCCAGGGGGGAGTCTCTCATCTGGTATCACCCATGGATTGAGGTGCTGGGTTTGGGCCTGCCACTTTTGGACTCTTGCTTGCTGAGGTGTTCCAGCGAGTGTCTCTGTAGATCTTAGAAAACTATTTCTTGATTTAAGTCGTTGACGTGTTGGCTGATACCCAAACAGGGGATGAGCTGGAGATGTCTCCTGCCTTGGTCCTTTCACTATTGGCTGCTACTTCCCGGCGGATGTCAGGTGGTGCAATACCAACTAAGCAGTGTAATTTCTCCAGTGGTGTAGGGCGCAGACACCCAGTGATAATGTGGCATGTCTCATTAAGAGCCACATCCACTGTTTTAGCGTGCACTGAGCATGCATACTCAGCAGCAGAGTAGCAAAGCACAAGGGCAGATGTCTTCACTGTGTCTGGTTGTGATCCCCAGGTTGTGCCAGTCAGCATTCGTATGATATTATTTCTAGCACCCACTATTTGCTTGACATTCAGGCAGTGCTTCTTGTAGGTCAGAGTACGGTCCAGAGTGACTCCCAGGTATTTGGGTGTGCTGCAATGCTCCAGTGGGATTCCTTCCCAAGTAATGTTCAGAGCTCAGGATGCTTGTCTGTTCTTAAATGAAGGAGTTAGAACCAGAGAGTAGGAAAAGAGAGGCATCCGAGCTGACCAACTGCGATCCTGCTCTCCATCTTGAGCCAAAGCCAAATTCCTCGCCTGGGACTGAATCAAGAGGATGATTGTCTTGGGGTGGGCCGTGACGTGTGCCCTTGGGCAGAGCAGAAACGTGGGCGGAAAGCTGGAAGCACACCGGACGGACGGAGCCGTGGGAGAGGAGCTTTCCCACAGGCCCGTATCGCTCCATCGCCCTTCTCCGCCTTTGAGAAGAAATCTCTCAGGACAACGTGTTCCGGAGCAGAATCGGCGAGGAAAACACTCAAGGACTGAGCCTCTCTGACGCCATTGCGCACAGACACAGGCCCTTGCCACTTAGAAGGCCAATGCATGAAATAGGAATTATAGTTCCATGTGAATGTTCTAGTTTACCTAACAGCTGCCATGCCCAAAACTAAGACTGTAGTATCCTGGCGGTGGATCCGTAGGTGACCTAGGTGACTGTGGAGCCCAGCATTTTGGGTGTCTTGTTAAACCATTTAAGGGAAAGGTACTTACTTACTTAGGCGATCCCTCATTGTCCGAGTAAGATTGTCCTCCCAAGTTTGGTGTCCTGGCAGTGGGTACATAGGTGACTGTGAAGCCCTATTCTTGACCCACATGTTCTCCCGCAGTGAGGGCATCGGTTTCCAGGTGGAAGGTGGTCCCGGTCGGGTTGGCTTGATGCACCTTTCTCTTGGCATGTTTCTCTCTTTTGCCCTCCATTCGTGCCTCTTCAAATTCTACAGCACTGCTGGTCACAGCTGACCTCCAGCTGGAGCGCTCACCAGGGCTTCCCAGTTCTCAGTGTCTATGCCAGAGTTTTTAAGGTTGGCTTTGAGCCCATCTTTCAATCTCTTTTCCTGTCCCCCAACATTCCGTTTTCCGTTCTTGAGTTCGGAGTAGAGCAACTGCTTTGGGAGACAGTGGTTCGGCATCCGGACAACACGGCCTTTCACCTGGAAACTGATGTCCTCACTGCGGGAGAACATGCAGATCAAGAATAGGGCTCCATAACCAACTATGAACCCACCACCAAGACACCACGCTTTAAGGACCATCATCCTCAGGCTACGAGGGATCAGCTAAGTAAATAATTCTACAGCATAGATTCAATCTGTTTCCGTCCCTTTTCTTTAGGTACTTAAACTCTACTTTAAAGGCCTCATCTACTCTGCCACACAATCCAGTTTCTGGATGCAGAGTAATTGCACTGAACTGGATTATAATGTTGTTGTTGTTATATTTATATCCTGCTTTATCTTTTCCGAAAGAAGACTCAAAGCGGCTTAACATAACAGCATTCATAAACCATTTAAAATATACCAATTTGCAAAAATTCGAATAGTATTTGTTGTTGCTGCAGTTGCTGTTATTTCTGTTGTTGTTGTTGTTGTTGTTGTATTTATATCCCACTTTATCTCTCCCGAAAGAAGACTCAAAGCAGCTTAACAAATATACCAATATGCAAACATTAAAATAGAATTAAATATATACAGTATTTGTTGTTGTTTTTGTTGCTGTTATTGCTGTTGCTGTTATTTCTGTTGTTGTTGTTGTGGTTGTTGTTATATTTATATCCCACTTTATCTCTCCGAAAGAAGACTCAAAGCGGCTTCACATAACAGCATTCACATACCATTTAAAACATACCAATATGCAAACATTAAAATATAATTAAATATAAACAGTATTTGTTGTTGTTGCTGTTATTGCTGCTGGTATTGTTGTTGTTGTTGTTATATTTATATCCCACTTTATCTCTCCCGAAAGAAGACTCAAAGAGGCTTAACATAACAGCATTCACATACCATTTAAAATATACCAATATGCAAACATTAAAATATAATTAAATATAAACAGTATTTGTTGTTGTTGCTGTTGCTGTTATTGCTGCTGCTGCTGCTATTGTTGTTGTTGTTGTTGTTATATTTATATCCCACTTTATCTCTCCGAAAGAAGACTCAAAGCGGCTTCACATAACAGCATTCACATACCATTTAAAACATACCAATATGCAAACATTAAAATATAATTAAATATAAACAGTATTTGTTGTTGTTGCTGTTATTGCTGCTGGTATTGTTGTTGTTGTTGTTATATTTATATCCCACTTTATCTCTCCCGAAAGAAGACTC